AAGTAGCGACAAGTAGGCAGAACTGGGGCTTAGGGTTTGGGGTTGAGAGTTTAGGGTTTAGGAGGTTGGGGATTTGGGGGGTTTAGAGGGCTTCAAGGCCTTGAGAGCTTTTAGAAGGTTTTGGGGGGATTAGGTAGGGTTTGGGGTTTAGTTGGATGTAGATTGCGCCGCATGGGTAGTCCCCCTTATGATAATAGAATATAATGTCTGGGAGTATTATAATAAGATTCCCCTATTCCCCATATTCTATCTACTTAAGGGGGACTATATGCTTTTCAAGGTTCGGGGAGACGATTGAAGGGTATTGGGGGTATGAGACTTCAGGGGGGACCGACTTCGTCGTGGCCTTAACATAAACCTTGCTACCACAATGCCTTGTTTTGATAGCTATGGGTGGAAACGGCTTTAAGGCTTAGGGATGCATATTTTAACACACGTATGAGGTCCCGTGCTCAAGAGTAACCCCCCCAACCCCTTACACCAAATATTCCCCCGATTAAATGATTAGGCCGATGGATAATGTTAAGCAAGCTAGAATTAAGGTAGGGGATTGAGGAAAAGTTCTCTGCCAGGCCAGAAATCCAGAAGACATCAGTCACTTTCTTGCAAGTTGACAGCACAAAACATACCCTAAACCCTAAATCCTAAACCTCTAAACAAAGTGTGTCGGCCATAATAAGGTAACGGCAGCTGCAGTGTGACGTGAGTTTGGATGGCCGGCAGCGTTGCTTGGAAGTGGCACAACTGATGGAGATATTGCCTAAACTCCTAGTATCCCCTTTAGTAACCTAGGGTTACGGGTTTAGGGTCTGAAGTCCTAGTATCCCCTATAGTAGTCCCCTATGTCTCCCTTCTAAAACCGCTTTAATTTCAGGAGTTTAAATCATGGTTCATGGGAAAACAATGCTGCGGGCACCCCGGCTACGTGCTCCTGCTGGTCGGCCGAGGTGGTGGCACATAGTGCCAAACCTGAGTGAAATGGGTTTAGGCTTTAGGGTTTATGCTTTAGGGTTTAAGGCTTAGGGTTTAAGGCTTATAAAGTACTACACGCAAAGCGAGGATGTAATCTTACTCTATACTAGGTACCCTCATTAATACACCCAAGTAACATACTACTCAGTTGTTTGCAGAATGATGGCGGAGGGTATTTTCAAAACCGTGGCCCCTGGGGACCCTAAGGATATGTAGATGAAAGTGTTCCTTCGCAAGAATCTCACAGGACTTATTTGAGGAAATCCCATTAGGATCGAGGCTTGTTGAATTGTACCCTAAATCCTAAACCCAAAGGCCTTAGGCTGGTTTCGATAGGATTCCGGCGTAGGGTTCAGGTGCGATGACTAGGGCTTTTAAGTTTAGACTCCGTTGTGTTTTGGGTTGTGCAACAGGATGCTTTTGGTTCAGGGCTCCGGACTCAGTAGGGCTTAGGGATATTACCGCCGCAATGCAAACAAAACAAATGGATGAAATGAGAAAGAAATGGAAAGCCAGGTCCCTACCAAGGGGTATGTAGGGATACATAGGGCTATTGGCTGACCCCGATAATGGACAGCACATGGAAAAGACAATGGATAACTTGCTGGAAACTGGGTCTATATCGTGGTCTTCAGGTAACGAAGTAGTACTCTCTGGGTGGTGGTACCAAGTCATCTTGTACAATATTCTTCTTCTAAGATATGATGCCCGAAAAGAGGATATGAAATCATTCTGGGTCTTGGGCACTATGGACCGCTTCACAAATTACCCATCAGGTGGGATGCGTAGCCTGCATCAGACAACCCTCTTTGGAGCAAGCCCACTATATACCCTATATTACCCTATAATCCCCATATAACCCGAACATAGCCCCTCTAATCCCTCTAACACGCCGATATACCCCTATATAACCCCTATAATCGCTGTAGCTTCCATTTTCTTTTCCATTATCTCTCTATAACCCGCAATATTTCCAAGCCCACACCCTGGCTTGGAAACCACCAACCCTCGATGCCCAAACCCGCATTCCAGATAACTTTTTTGATGGATTGGCCTTTGGCCGGCTGGGAAATGGAGGAATGGAAAAGAAGATAGAAAAGGGTCTAGGTTTGGGGTTTAGGTGAAGGAATGGAAAAGAACATGGAAAGTACTATCATGGTTTATATAGGGGCTACTTTAGGATCCATTCCTTCATTCTTAGCTCACCAAGGGTAAGTAAAACCATGTCTGCAACTATAGTGGCGTTTTCTCAAGAAGAGTGAGCCCATAGGGATCCTAGGAATACGAACAGATTAGAAAGCCCAAACGCATATTCATGATTCTACATGAGATATAGTTTAAACTCCTAGTATCCTCCTTAATAGCCCCTCTAGTACTCCCCTATCTCATCCCCTACATAACCCCCTTTGAGAAGTTTAGACTATAGCTCACATGGACTATTGAGCTTTCAAGGGTTTGTGGTTGTCAGGCAAGTGCGGCTATCTTACCTATATCCCCCAGATTCTGGGATGCTTGTAGCAGAGGCGGTCGACGGACTCAAGTTTGTTCAAGAACCATCCCTACAGGGGCCCTGTAAAGTAGTTATGAGTTGTTTAACTAATATTAAAGACCCTGAAGCAGCACAAACGACAGGATTTTGAATACTTGCCCAGACGCTAAAAACTAAGAGCTACAGTCTACACTCCTAGTATCCCCCTTAATATCCCCTGTAGTACTACCCCCCAACACAGTCCCTTATATAACCCTAAATCCTAAACTTCCATAAGCCCTAAAACCCTGAAAGCCTAAAACCCTAATCTCTAAGCTTGCCCAGAAGCTAAAGACTAAGAGCATTGACATTGGGGCGGTGGGTGTCAGAGCTGAACACGGCCACGGCGAGCAAGGTCATGGTCGGTGTTTAGGCAAATTACACGCAACTTACAGTACAGGGTTCTATTATTTAGGGTTTCAGGATTTAGGATCTAGGGGTTTGGGTTTAGGGTTTAGGGTCTTGGGTTAGTATTGTGATACTGGAACAGAAAACGGAAACTACTGCGTTATAATAGGGCTTATTTTGCGGTTTTGATCAATATATACTATGGGAATTATATAGAGATTATATTCCCTCATTCTCTCACTAACCACCAGTAAGGTAAGAGTGCTGGGGAGTTATGAGGAGGAACACACAGTTGATACTAAAACTATGGCATGCCAGAGTACCAAGGCCATGCAGGTTTTTTTTTTTTTTTTTACATCTATGCAGTTATCATATACATAACTATGAGCCATAGTCTGAACTCCTAGTATCCCCCTCCATAACCGCTATAGTACCCTCCTTGAGTTTAGACTATAGCTCATATACATACATCCGTGTATGGCATGTAGGCTGATATATCCTCCTGATAAGGACCGAATCTGCTGGTTTAGGATTTAGGGTCTAGGGTACTGAATTTGGGTACCCTGTACACTACAGCACAAAATATTTTGCGTCATATGAGGGGAAGATAAGTATGGGAAGTGCTTGTCAACACGCAACCGGATAACCCTTAACGTCATGTCTGACAAAGATGCCATGGTGCTTACTTGTATGTTATGATGCTGAGGCCTTTGGAACACGGAGAGAAGTTAGGGGGTATATAACCCTAAACAACTAAGCCCTAAATCCTAAACCCTAAACCCTCAATCCTTGAATCCCTAAACCCCAAATCCCTGAACCCTAAACCCTAAATCCCTAAGTCCTTAAATCGCTAAATCCCGAAACAAGGATGAAAGGGAAGGGTTCTGAGCGACAATGGCTCATCCTGGAGTCTTGGGCTTATGGCGTCTAGTCCCCCTTAAGTAGATAGAATATGGCGTTTTTAGAGTTTTATATAGGGAAAATGGAAAAGAAATGCAAACGATTATTAAAATAGGGTATATATTTGGGTTATAGTCCCCCTTAAGTAAATAGGATATGGGTTGTATGCGGATCGTAGTATAACATACCCAAAGCCATATTCTATCTACTTAAGGGGGACTATAACCTGAAGACGTTTGGAGGTGAGATAGTCAAAGCGCATCACGGCAGCCGTGTGCAATTGGGTTTGGGGTTTAGGGTTTAGAGCGCAATTTGGGGCTGTGAATACGTGCGCACGGGCTTCAAAATTCTGAGCCTCAACTGTTGAAAGTAATTGCCTCAAAGGCGTGGCTATATCAGTATACACTTGGGCCTTCAAGGAAGTATAGGGGAACCTTTCTGGGCCCTATACCTACATGGACGCTTCGGGTACATAGCAGGAAGCAGTACAACTCGCCTTGTCATCCCTGCATGTCTCCAATAAAGAGTCTTCCCTACTGTTGTATAAGGGAAGCTCTTCGTGAATAATTCCCTTTAAAGTACCACACAGTTACACCATTGCCCAGGCGTGGAGGTCAACCTGGGTAGTCGCAGGCAATTTCAGGTTAGCGGCCTGCACCTGGGGATCTTCCAAAAACACCCGGGTAAGCAACATTTAAGGCGCTCTTGATTTCCCACCTCAGTTGTGAGTTGTGCTTGGTTATGATTTGCAGGTCCTCACATGGTTGCAGGGTTCTCTGCAGTGTGGGCGATTCCGTCAATTCCCAATC